AAAAGTGAGCTTCGAAACCCCCTAGGTGGTGGTTTTGAAACCTCTGTGTAGATTTGCATTGAATGTGTTAATTTACGGCTTCAAACAGCTTCAAACGCCCTCCAACGACTACAAATGGCTATAAATAAATAAGGACATATAAAAGGGATCTTCAAACAACCAAGAAGAGATAAAAAAGCTATTTCAACATTCAAAGGGTAATTAAAGCTAAATTTATATTACATTGTGTCTTTCTTTCATTTGAACATTATTTCGTTCATTGTTAATTTTATTATAGTGTTCTTGGGTGTGTATGAGAGCTTCAATTTGCAAACAATCAATCTTTGTAAGGATATTCAAAAGTTTTCTCATTTTTAATTACTTCTTAAGAAGGGTTGAACATTCAAGACTTTGTGGTATAAATCTTAGTGTTGTGTAAGGTTAGAACAAATTAGTGATTTTGTTGAAATCCTTAGTTAGGAAACTAAGGTAGTGGATGTAGACTTCATTATGGAAGTTAAACACTCTAAATCCTTTTTCTCTATTTCTTATTTCTTGTTTAAGTTTCTAACAAATTTTTTTATTACCAATTTACCCCTCCTCTTAGTCATTTTCCTTGATCAATTGACTCAACAATTGGTATCAGAGCGACGCTTATTGAAAGTTTTTACCTCCTCTTGAGAATATCCTAGAAGATCCAAGTCGTCATTTTATTCATCCATTGCCTCTACACCAAGTTTCAATGTTATCAATGATTCTCAACCTATCAACAAGTATCCTTACATAAATGGAGCCAACTATGCCTATTTGAAGAATAAGATGATGTTTTTCATTCAAGCAAGTGATTTGGAAGCTTGGAGCATCATGATGAGAGGGCCTTGTACTCCAACTAGAGAAATAGATGAGTGAAGTGGGGAAGAAAATAAATTATTCCACTCAATGCTAAGACAATGCATATTCTATTTTGTACACTAGACCCTGACGAATATGGAAGAGTTTCATCTTGTTCCAATACAAGGAGATTTGGGACAAACTTGAAGTTAGTCATGAAGGACCTAATGAGGTAATATAAACTAAGATTAGTCTTCTCAATCATAATTATGAAAACATCAAGATAAGACCGGATGAGGATATTAAAAGCATGACCAATCAATTTTTGATTATTTATAATGGTCTCAAAGGCTTTGGAGAGGTCATTCCTAATGAGAATCTTGTTAGGAATATGATCTATAGTCTTCCCAAGTCATGGAAATCCAAAAAGACTGTCATTGTTGAAGGAAAGAATCTAAAGACCCTCAATTTAGATTAGCTCATTAGGCCTTTGTTTACTCATAAGATGATGGTGAAGAAAGAAGAAGAACAAGAGAACATAGATGATAAAAATAAGAAAATGAAAAAAAGAAAAATATTGGTGTTTCTCTCAAGTATATAAAAGAATAGAGTGACTCAAATGAAGATGAATAAATAACAATGTTTGCCAAAAGATTCAAGAGGTTTATGAGGTCCAACAAAGAAAGGAGATTCCAAAGAAATAAGGGCTTCAAAAATGAATCGAAGGATATGGATCCTATTATTTTCTATGAGTGCAAAAAGTCTAGGCATGTCAAGTTTGAATGCCCACAATTAAAGAAGAATGGATCCTCCAAAAAGAATCACAAGGCACATGTAACTACATAGAGTGATTATAATTCCTCCAATGAAGAGGAGGAAGAAGTAGCCAACTTGTGTCTCATGGACATAGAGGATGATTCTAAGGTAACCTCTAATTTATCAATTTCAAATGAGTATTCTTTTGATGAATTGCAAGAGGCTTATGATGAATTAGCCTCAGAATTTGAGAACATGATTTCTAAGAATAATAAAAATATTACAAAATTTAAAGATGAAAATGTTCTTCTTTCTAAGACTAATCTCGAACTTGAAAGTCAAATCAAAGATATACAAGTCAATCTTAAAGAGTTTGAAAAGAAAAATAAAGACTTGCATAACTTTCTTTCAAAAGTTCATGATGATCGTTAAAAGAAACATGATGATCTTAAAGCTTCTTTTAACCATGTTGGGGAAAAAAGATTTGAAAAGGTGAACATTCAAAAACCAAATATGTTAAAAATAGCTTTAATTATTACAAACATAGAGGTCCCCAAAGAACCTTATATAGAAAATTTATTAAAAGAATATGGGTCTCCAAAGGACTCATTTCTATTAATGATAAGGATATCCTTGAATAATGGATACCAAATGGGAAAAGATTATTGGGAACTAATGCTAATGGACCAAAAACATTTGGGTGCCAAAAATCAAAACTTAATCTATGTTTGTAGGTGGAGCATTGCTACAAGGCACAAAGTAAAAGTTCAAATTCATGGTACCTTTATAGTGGATGATCAAGACACATGACTGGTGATAAGAACCGATTCTTGGAGCTTAAAACTAAAACTGGAGGAATAGTAACCTTTGTTGACAACTCAAAAGTCACATTGAAGGAATTGGTTCTATTGGTAACAACTCTTCCATTCTTATTGAAAATATTTTTTATTTAAAATGTGTTGAAGTATAATCTACTTAGTATTATCCAATTATGTGATAAGGTATACAATGTCTTATATAAGTCTAATGGTTGTAAAATTGTTGATATTGCAACTAATATGATTATTCTTGTTGGTCATAGGATAGGAAATATCTACATGGGGCATTTAGATAATATTAACATTTCAAATGTATGTTTGGTTGCTAAATATGAGCATGATTTTTATTTGTGGCATAGGAAACTAGGATATCATAGCATAAGTGTTTTACAAAAACTTGTTCAAAGCAATCTAGTAAAAGGTTTGTCTACGATAAAATTTGACCTTGATAAAATTTGTGATGCTTGTGCTAAAGGCAGACACAAAATTACTTCTCTTAAACCTATTAATGATGTATCATATAGTAGAGTATTGCAATTGATCCATATAGATCTTTTTGGGCCTATTAGAACTACTAGCTTGGGTGGAAAACAATATGCATTTGTTTTGGTTGATGACTATTCTAGATTTACTTGGGTTCTTTTCTTAAGTATAAAAGATGAAGCTTTAGAAAATTTCATCACTTTCTCTAAAATAAACCAAAATGAAAAAGGTTACTCAATTTCAAGTGTTAGGAGTGACCATAGAACCGATTTTCAAAATCTTTGTTTTGATGAATTTTGTAACTCTAATGGAATTAGCCATAAAATTTCAGGCCCTAGGACCCCTCAACAAAATGGAGTTGTTGAGAGGAAAAATAGAACTTTAGAAGAAATGGCTAGGACCATGCTTTGTGAAAACAATTTGCCAGAGTAATTTTGGGCGAAAACCACAAATGCTACTTGTTATGTGATTATTGGAGTAATGATTAGACCTATTTTAAAGAAAACATCATATTAACTTTTCATCAATAAAAAGTCTAACATTAGTTATTTTCATCCTTTTGGATACAATTATTTTATTTTAAATAATGGAAAAAGTAATCTTGGTAAATTTGATGCAAAAAGTGATGAAGGAATTTTTCTTGGTTATTCTTCAAATTCTAAAGCTTATCAAGTCTTTAATAAAAGAACTCTAGTGGTAGAAGAGTCCATACATTTTGTTTTCAATGATAATCCCCTTTCGAAGAAATATTCTTATGTTGATGATGATGTAGGTATCTTAAATTCAAACAAAGTTGGTGAATCATCATTAAAAGAAATAAATAATGAGGAAACTCAATATGCCCTCAAGAATCTAACTCTATAGGAAAGGGAGATCTTCATGCCCAATGGAGTACAACTATAACAAAGATGGTGAAATTTTGGATGATCCATCCAAAGAGGTAACCATTAGATCTTCTCTTAAGAATATTTGTAATTATGTTGCATTTATCTCATGCATAAGCCTAAGAATGTCAAAGAAACATTAGATTGTTAATTGCTTTTGCTCGAGGTTACACTCAAGAAGAGAGAATTGATTTTGATGAAATATATGCTCTTGTAGCTAGAATGGAAGCCATTAGATTATTACTTGCTTTTGCATGTTTTAATGATTTTAAGCTTTATCAAATGGATGTTGAAAGTACTTTTCTAAATGGCTTCATTAATCAAGAAGTGTATGTTGAACAACCTCCCGGTTTTTGAAGATTCAAAATTTCTAAACCATGTTTTCAAACTTTCAAAAGCTTTATATGGTTTGGAACAAGCTCCTAGAGCTTGGTATGAAATATTATCAAACTTTTTAATTGAAAACGCTTTTTCTAAAGGGAAGGTTAATAGTACACTTTTTATTAAAATAAAAGAGAATGGCATGTTAGTAGTACAAATTTATTTTGATGATATTATATTTGGTGCAACTAATGATATTTTTTACCAAGAATTCTCTAAGTTGATGTAAGGTGAATTTGAAATGAGCATGATGGGGGAGCTCACATTTTTCTTGGGACTCCAAATCAAGCAAATGAAGGATGACATCTTTATCAATCAAGTTAAATACATAAGGGATATGCTCAAGAAGTTTGGCTTGGAGCACTGGCGAAGCCAACCTTGTAAAAAATTTTGGAAAAAAATCTTTATAAATTTAAATTTTCAATATATATATATATATATATTAAATTTGACACCCCAAAATAAATTGTTTGTTACACCTCAAAATAATTTATTTTAAATTTGACACCTAAAAATAAATTTTTTAACTCTACCACTAGCTTGGAGAATGTCAAACCTCAAGCCACTCCCATGAGCACTTCAACAAAGCTTGACAAAGATGAGGAAGATAAATGTGTAGATGTTAAATTACAGATTCCATGATTGATTCTTTTCTTTATCTTACTGCAAGTAGACCATATATTATGTTTAGTGTTTACTTGTGTGCTAGATATCAATCTTGTTATAAGGAATCTCATTTACATATCATTAAGAGAATCTTTAGATATCTTAGAGAAACTCCTAGTTTAGGACTTTAATATCATAGAGAGTCAAACTTTAGCTTGCATGCTTTCTCGGATGCGGATATTTGAGGTTGCAATTTGGATAGAAAAAACACCTCTGGTACATGTCAATTCCTAAGAAATATGTTAATTTCATGGTTTTCTAATAAACAAAATAGTTTTACATTATCAACCATCGAGGCAGAATACATTTCGCCTGGTAGTTGTTGTTCATAAGTTTTATGGATGAAACAACAACTTTTAGACTATGGAATTGATGTTGGTACCATTCCAATCAAGTGTGACTATATTAGTGCAATTTTTCTCACTAAGAATCCCATCCGACACTCTAAACTAAACACATTGAAATTAGACATCATTTCATTAGACATTATGTCCTTAAGAAAGATGTAGTTCTAGAATATGTTAATAATTTTCATCAAATAGATGATATTTTTACCAAGCCCTTAGATAAGGAAATATTTTGGACACTTAGGATAAAGTTAAGAGTTTCAAGCATTCCCTAGGCCTTAGTCAAAAATTTTGAATTTTTATGCTTCTGAATGAATTTTTGGCTTAAAATTGGTTTTTATATATGCTTGAGTGATTCTATATGGTTATCTAATGCAAAAATTGAGGGGGAGATATGCATGTCATTTCATCATTTTTGGACTAAGTTTGAACATCTCAAATTGATTAAGTATGCCAAAATAAAAAATTTCATAATAATATCTTTAGAAAATTTTCTTGAATTCATGTCATACATCCTTAATGATATTTTAGCATGATTCTAAAGTCCCTATAATCATCATGCATGATTGGTTATTGTTCCGGATGATTTTCTTGCTCAAAATTGATTTTCTTGCTCAAAATTAGTTGTTTTTATTTTTCAAGAGTAGAGGTTTTTAAACCAATAGGGCAAAATGGTTTTTGAGGCTTATGGTTTTGAAAATTCTCTTTGAGGTTTGGAAACCAGTCGAGTAGTGTTCTTTTCTCAGGCTTAAGGTTTTGAAACCTCCTATAATAGGTTTCAAAACCCCTTTAAAAATTCAAGGGTTTTGTGCTTTAAATCCCAAACTCCACACTTCTTCATTTTTTATTCTCATCATTTGAAAAATCACAAAAAGGCAAAAGCCCTTAACCCAATCATTCATCCATCACACCAAGGAGACCCGCATTGACCTCCTGCAATCGTCGCTCACTCTGGTTGTCTCCACTCACCTATTTGCTTCCTCTTTCGTTCTTTTCACAGTAATTTCTTTAAAACCTAAACCTTTCCTTTTTTCTCTCAAAAAAATCAAATTTTACACGATTATTCTTCATATTTTATGCTAGATTTGATATTTAATTACTTTCAAAACATATAGAACTTGTTTAATTTCATGTTTTTTAAAGAAATTTTGAAAAATTGTCTTAGTTAGGATTTTTATTTTTTTAAAATTTGTTCAAAAATTGATTATATTTATTGAAATTGGGTTGATATTTAGAATCATATATACGTGTTTTTTATGCAGGAGGTTTACCCATCTATCCATTTTCATTAGAAAACCAAAATTCAGCCTCGTCCACCAAGTCTTCGTAGAAAATCACAAACGAAATTTCTTTTTAAAACACTTGTTTTCCTCTCTTCTAATGGCACCTAAACTTCCTACTAAATGTTCTAGGACTGGTCAAACTTCTACTCCTCCAACTTTTGAAAGCTTATGCTTTCATAATCTCGAAGCTCTTTCCTATTACCTTGATCACTATATCACTCGTCCTATTCATCACGAACGTAATTTTGATTTCAATTTTCTTAGCTCGGGTGAATATGAATTGATTTTTTATTGTACCATTCTTGATTGGAATTGGATTCCACTTATCTCGATTGCACATTCAATTCATACTTAACATGATCGAGCATTTTTTTGTAATGCCACATTTCGTAGGAAAATTCCTTCGGATAGGATTTTTTTCATTTAGTATTTTCTTATGGGTGTAAAACTTATTTAGGAATTCTTTTTTATGGCCCTTTTTCATGAGGAATACTTTGTGCCCTTTGAAGATGTTCATAATGATAATCCCACCTTTCTTCCTTTGAGAAACGCTTTTTGCAGCTTTCCATCACTTGTTTCCTTTGCCTTTCATGTGGTCATACCACTCGTATGCGCCATTTAGACTATTGGTGGCTTCACCACTTTCGCATCAAGGAATGTCTGAACATTGCCAAAATTATCTTCTTTGACTTAGTGAACACTATAACCAAATGACCAAATTATATCGTCTCATTGCCTTACACTTAAGTCTTGAGTCACATATTTCGTACCTATTCCATTAATACCTCTTTTGATCCTCTCGTGCCCCTTTCGAGCAAGCTTGATTATATCTCAGTTAAGAAAATGGAGTTTAAATTTGAAAATGGAAATTGGGTAAGAAATTGTAATGGCGCTCCTCTGGTTGATGATCCCGCTGCTCATGGAGTCGATGCACCCACTGATGTCGTTCCTCCTCAACCTCCCGTCACCTTAGATTCTCTTTATGACTACATGACCACTCATTTTGATGAGGTTCTTCACCATATCGATAGCCATTTTGATTTATGGGAGCTCGTATCGATGCTTTGGAGGATCGCTTTTTGGGCTCGTTTCCTCATTCAGGTCCATATTCCTCTTCTCATTCGGATATTGAGGATTGATCATTTGCATAGTTTATTTGATTTTTTAGTATGCTTTTATATTTTATGATGAATATTTTCTTTTATGATTGACACTATTTTGGATATTCCTCTTCTCTCTTGTAGCTAAATGATTTTGTTCTAGAAAAAGTGAGAAAATTCTAGTCAAAATTTGTTTTGTCAAATTTTTCATTTCATGCTTTTCATCATATACTCTTAAATTCTTTTTCAAAGGGGGAGAAAAATGAAAAATCTTACTCGTAAAAAATTTTGACATTTTTAAAATTTATTTTTGACAAAGTTTTACAAAATGGATTTGTTATATCAATAAGGGGGAGATTGATAAGTGTAATTAAATGATTTTGATATAACAAAGGACTAAATTGAATATTTTGTAAAATTAATATTTTATTCGATTCAAGAGTCCTTAAGTTTTTAAAAATAATTTTTAAGGATCAAAATGTCAAACATAAATTTAAAAATATTTTTGAAATTTATGAAGTCTTAAAATATTTTTGCAATATGAAACAAGGCTAATTTTAAAAGTTTTTTAGCCTAGTTTTGAAACCCTTCTTATCATGTTCAACGGTCAAATTTTTTTAAAGATGAGTTTCGAAACCTCTATGCAGATTTACATTAAATGCGTGAATTTAATGCTTCAAATGACTAAAAGCTCCCTCCAACAACCACAAATGGTTAAAAATCAATGAGGGCATATAAAAGGGGTATTCAAACAACCAAGAAGAGATAAGAAAGTTATTCCAACAATCAAAAAGCAATTAAAGCCAAATTTGTATTCCATTGTGTCTTTCTTTCATTTGAACTTTATTATGTTCATTGTTAATTTTATTCTAGTGTTCTTGGGTGTGTGAGAGAGCCTCAATTTGCAAACAATTTATCTTTGTGAGGATATTCAAAAGTTTCTCATTTTTACTTCTTGGGAAGGGTTGAACATTCAAGACTTTGGGGTATAAGTCTTAGTGTTATGAAAGGTTACACCTTGTCCTAAAAGGTTAGAATAAATTAGTGAATTTTTTGAAATCCTTAGTTAGGAAGCTAAGATTGTGGATATAGACTTAATTAAGGAAGATGTACCACTTTAAATCCTTTGTGTCATTTTCTTATTTCTTTCTTAAGCTTCCAATAAAAAAAATTATTGCCAATTCACCCCCTCTTGGACATTTTCCTTGTCTGATTAACTCAACAATCAGGGTTAGTTCAGCCAATTCAGATACCGCAATGGAAATGGGAGAGGGTGACTATGGACTTCGTGATCGGGTTGTTGATGACTAAAATGAGGCACAATGTGATTTGGGTAGTAGTGCTTTGTTTGACCATATCAGCTCATTTCCTCCCAATTAGGATGGATTATACGTTGGAACGATCATCACATCTCTACATCCATGAAATAGTAAGGTTGCATGGGTCCTAACTTCGATCATTTTAGATAGTGACCCTTGATTCAATTCCCAATTTTGAAAGCCTTTCACGAGTCTTTAGGTACAAAGCTTCACTTTAGCACTACTTTCTATCCTAAAATAGAATGAAAATCCGAGCGTGTTATTTAAACCTTAGAGGACATGTTTAGGTATACCATCATGGACCTTGAGAGTAGTTGGGAGGACCATATACAACTAGTGAAGTTCACATATAATAACAATTATTAGGCTCGTACAAGGCTTGTAGGACGCAAGTGTAAAACTTCACTGTGTTGGACATAACTCAGTGAAGGGAAGTTAATGGGCCTGAATTTGATCAGAGAAATTGATGAAAAGGTTCGATTAATTCAGATTCGATTGAAAAAAGCTTATGACAAGAAGAGGTCGTATGCGGACTTGAAGTGTAAGGATATCGATTTTGTAGTGGGAGGCAAAGTCTTCCTTAAGGTATTCCCGTGGAAGAAGGTATTTTAGTTTGGCTGCAAAGCAAAGTTAACCCCATGCTTCATAGGTCCGTGTGAGATACTCAAGAGGGTTGGACACGTAGTGTACTTATTAGCTTTACCCCTAGAATTGGAGCATATCCGCAACGTGTTCCACATGTTCATTCTTAGGAGGTATCATTCTGACCATTCTCACATCTTACCGCTAGAATAGATAGAGGTGATCTTAAACATAACCAATTAAGAAGATTCGATAAGAATCTTATCAAGGGATGAGAATGAACTAAAGAACAAGAAGATTCCCCTAGTAAAGGTTTTGTGAAAGAACCACAAAATCGAGAAAGCAACTTGAGAGACTGATGAGGAAATACAACTCTAGTATCCACATCTTTTCTATTCAAGTAAAATGTCAAGGAATAAATTTCTTATTATAAAGAGAGAGTTGTAACACCCCAAATCTCAGGTTAGAAGTTTCGGGTTAACACAATATGGTTTAGTCGAGCCCATTGTAGGAGAGCTTGGTCTATTTAGAGTTGAGTTGGGCATGGGTTGGGGCCATTTGGCATCAAAGAGGGCATTTTTAATAATATAATAAAAAATGAATGAATAAAAGAGAAATTATACCATTTAAAATTTCAAAAGCTGAAATCTCTTAATTGTTGATGATCTCACGTCTGTTTTATTTCCTCTTCTTCCGCATACAATAGTTTGTCTTCTTCCATTCTCCTTCATTTGCCTTCGTTTCACCAAAACCTATCAATGATAAAAACTTTGTAGTTTGCAAGCCTTGTTCAGTATTTCCAAGGTAAGTTTTGAAATCTACTCATACTAAGCTTACATTCAAGCCTTTAAACTCAAGTTTTGATTATAGTTTCATGAAATGGGTTCTGGAGGGGTTTAAGAACCCCAAGTGTCTTTAGCTTGTTTTTAGGAGATTTAAGTTTTAAGAAGTGTCTTTAACTTCAATCCAAGCTCCTAGATGAGTTAATAACTCATTTACCTTATCCTTAATTAGTGGAAGAAGTGAGGGAAAGCTCCAAGTCAAGAGGAAAAGAAAAATTTACCTTAGCCTTTGATTGATTAATATTTCTTCCTTCAATATCATCACCTCAAATCTAAGGAAGTACCTTAGAACCCCCAAATTCTTCATCTTAAAATTTTCCTTTAACATCTTCAATTCATCAATCAACCCTTCATCACTTCCGGTGATTAACAAGTCATCAACATATATTAATATCACTACTAATTTGTCATCATATCTTTCAGTAAACATTGAATAATTATACTTACTTTGATGATACTCGGATTTTAGCAAAACTACAGTAAGTTTCAATTTTCACTGTCGAAAAGCTTGTTTGACACCGTAAATGGGCTTCTGCTGTCTACACACTTTAGTCTCCTCTAGCTGTAGAATCTCTGAGACAACTGCATATACACTTCTTCAACCAAATCACCTTGAAGTAAGATGTTATAAACACAATTCTATTCGGATATCGACTTAAAATTAATAGAATTCCGCCAGAAAATCAGGTTAGTACAATTGGATAGATTATCAGATAATCGGTTCAAATTTACTTAATATTTTGAAAAATAATTTTAGAGTCTAAGAAGATTTTAAAATTTAGGTTAATATTGGTTAAAAGATTAAATTAAAAAATTATTCAAAATAATGGTTCCTAAAATTGAGATATTAATAAATTACTCCAAATTAAAATGAGTTTTTTTCCATTGAAAAATTTTATCATATTAATTTAGAAGTATTCGAAATTAAAAGAAAATTTTATTTTATAAAAGGATTAAGAACTTAAGTACTCAAAGGAACGAAATGCTATAAATGAAATAGGTTCCCTTAAGAATGAACTCGGGGAAGGTAGAGTAGAAATTAATATGGTAAAAATTTCTGATAAGGTCATCAAAAAACAAATTTATGTTTGGACCATTTTACGTAGATGGAGAGTTAGACTTGCAAAGAATTGTGGTGGAAGATGTATGCTCTTTTCTGGTAAGGTGTAGCCATGGAAGGATTCTCTCATATGATTTCACATTTGATTGAAATGATCTCTCGCAATTGGCAACTTTAGATTTCATATGTTCTGTGTGAGGGTAATAGAGTTGCAAACACGATAACCAAATTTTTATTGCTTTCTAGCCTTGTAGTTCTGGAACTTGTTCGATTAGGTCCTTGAATTTAAAATTGGTCTATAAACTTAGCCTTACTTCCTAATTGGATTCAGTATTATCCATAATTTGAAATTAGTTAATAAATTTAGCTTAAGTTTCTTAATTAATTCATTCTAGTCCATGACTTGAAATTAGTTAATGATTCGACTTAAATTATTAATTGCTTCAAATTTTCACATTCAATGGCAGATTTTGAGTGGCATTCGTGTTCCTAATTCGACTGATGAAATTATTCGTAGCATTCCTATCGGTTTCTTCCGTCAGCGTTATCGAGGAAGAATTCAATCCAGTGCCCTCACCGTTGGTGTACTGTAAAACGCCGGTGGTGATTAAGTCGACAGGCGGAAGAGCGCCATCGTAGAAAAGCCCAGTAGCCATGTAATATTGGCCGACGTTTTGGTTGGCAATGAGCAAAACATCCATGGTTTGTCCAGGGTTGATCATTATATAGTCGCTCGTAAACCTTTCAACGTAGGAGGCATCTTGGGTGACAAGTGTGAGGGTGTGGTTCGTGCTTTTAAGGTATCAACATTTAGGTGAAGTTGAGTGCTTCAATTTTTTTCACATGTAACCGACTCCTGAATCCAACCATGATCTTGATATAAACGCAAATCAGATTTATGGATTTCGGTCATACCTAGATAAAACGACGAATTTAAGAAGATTCAACACGTTCGAACCACCGTAAGATTACTTTAGCAATAAAATAACATTAATAATTTAATGAATTATTATTAAATTATTTCAAATGATTATTGCATTATTAAATTGTTAGTGAATTATTAATAAATTATTAAATTTAAATATTAGATATTTATTTATTTCTTTATTTTGAATTATGAATAATTTGATATAATGTATAAATTTTGAGGTCTAAAGCTATTATTATACCATTTTACATCACAATTTTCGTTAAGCCAGCGATAAAGCTTAATGGTGGTGTTAAAACATAAACAAATGTTAGATATAATTTAAAAACTTAATTGAGTAACCGAAACAAAAACACAAGAATAGATAGATGGGCAATAAGTCAAGTTATGAAAGCCAAAATGACAAAAAAATTAAAATACTTTTTTTTTCATTCTGAAATATGAAACCGCATAAATTCAACAACAGCACAACAAAACTAAGTAGAAGCCTTATTCTTCATTACAATCCTGGTGATTCTCCTTCCCTTGAAGGTAACATGAGAATGGTTAAGAAGCCTGGACCTCCTAAACAACCTAAGTATGTCCTTCACTTCCTTCTCATTACACTCCTCCACAGCCACCACTATCACTCCACCTTTTCTCACAGTCCTCTCCATCTCCCCTGCACACAGCAACGGATACAATGCCTCTTCCAAATGACCGGTAAATACGACATCGAACGCCCCATCGAAGAAAGGAAGATTATGGGGATCGGCCCGGCTAACCAGAGGCAACGACTCTACCAGTTCAACACCTGTGACATCCTCTACGCCCATTTTGGTTAGAGCCATGATCTCATGACCAGCCCCAGCTGAGGCACACAGCACTTTGGAGTGGTTGTTTAGGACACCCATTTGGTACAGTTGGGTGAAGAATCGAGTGTAGGAAGAAACCTTGGTTATCCAAGATTTAGAAGACCAGAGGCGATCATTCTTCTTGTGAAGAGGGAGGTAGTAGCGGGCAGAGAAGTCGCAGGTGGATTTGGGGAATCTAAGCTGAGGCTTTTTCGGAGCTTTAGCTGGGATACATGTTTCTGGGACATGGAGTAGGAGCGAAAGGAGAATAAGTGTTGCTATAACGGTTGATATGAATGATACTTTGTTTAGGACTCTCTGTATGTGCCTCTCCATTTTAGTTTTCTTATGTTATTCGAGACTTTTACCATAGAATTGGGGCAGTCACTTTCTCCAAAAATGGGCAGAGTCTGAGCATCAGAACAGAAATGTTCACAAGAGAAGACTGGTTTTATGTCTTTGTTTCTGCATTCTCTTCTGTTCACAAAATGGTGAGCTTTAGTATTATCAGAGTAAGTATACAGCACATCTTGCCTTGAACTGGAACCAATTCCGGTGAGAATCTTTGTATTCTATTGCACTTGTAAACTGCAAGACAATAAACGATACATGCACAAACCGTTGGGCCAAATTTAAACTGCAAAGTTATTGCATGAAAGACGACAAAATGGCCCTAATCAAGAAAAAGGAGAAAAATACATGCATAATCAAAAACAATGCAAATAATAATGATATTCATGAACTAACCAACAGATTAAATGTCTTAAAAAGGGTTCCCAAAAAGTCATGTCAAAGAGAAGTTGATTTCATGTTGTCATGTATAGGCCACTATTCATGTAACAGGGATTTTTAAGTTTATGGATTGCCAAATAGAAGCACAAAATGACCATTACAAGACCAAATCAAAAGAAAACATGATGTTGGATTTGCATCCAGAAGCTACAAAAAACCATTAACATGTGAAGAATAACAAGCTCATCCAGATGGCATTTTTCGAACTATCAAGAATACCAGAAAACATGACTCAAGCCTTGAGCCCTTGACATATAGATTATGAACAAATAAGAGTATACAATTGGGCAGCCATGGCCCAGGCCTGCGGCCTATAACCTATTTAGAGAGTATCTCAACATAGTAATGATCATATCAAATACTGAAAAGCAGGATATATTTCTCTTAACGTAAGGGCAAATTAAATTTGAATTATATCTGAACTTCTACAAGCTGCAAATTGTTAAATTCGAAAGTCAAAACTTACCAACTCAAGATAGAACACAAAAATATAAGAACCTACAATTGTTTTATAGATGAAAACTGAAACTTCTAACAATTCACAAATTGTAAAGCTATGTGTTTTAACTGAATGATTAGACAACCTATGTCAGTGCCATGCAATATAATTAGACTATAAATTCATAATTCTAAAGAGTATAATAAAATTGAAAATACACAACACAAGTAAAAGATGTACGTAAAACTGATCCTCAAAATAGGCCTCAATCAACTGCAAATATTTAAAACTAGTTAAACCATCTGAAACATGGAAATGTGTATATGACCAAGGGTCCTCCAAATACATGGAAAAACTCATAGATTTACCAATTGTCAGAAGTTTTTACATAACCGTATAGGAAACATACCCAATCGAGTTGAAAGGTTTATAATCCAGTTGTTTTTTTAAGGAAAAAAGTAATATCCTCAGATCTCATCAATGTCATGATCAAATGATAGTGAACGTAAGGATTTTCAAAGAAGTAAATGCACAATTCACACCTTCAGGGATAGACAACAATAGGAACAGGTTGGTAGCAGCAATGATAATGAAAATCAAAGAAGCTACTGAAGGTGACGACTCTTATCATGGGCAACATATCAAAGCAGTTCAAATTCATTAAGCACATACAATGTTAGATGACCAACAAAACATACAACTTGCCAGACTCAATAGCACCAAAAGCGAAGCATGAGGGTTAACAGAAAACAAACATAAGTGCAAGATGGGATTAAAAAGAAGTAGAAAATTGACGAACCTAGCTTTCAGAAGGCAGTGGTTAAAGGAGATGAAGATACTAACCGTGACAGAACATAAAATGCAACCAATAGATATGACCAAGCAAATTTATTGAGCATTCAAAAACGATTCAACTACTATTAGTCCCAACACCCAGGGAAAGTTAACTGCATCAATATTCCCATAATGTAGCCAGTTTAAAACACAACATCTCTTAAGATTTTCATGGTAGACTAATCTATTGCTAATCACTTAATTGCAAAGAAAATCATATGGCATTGAAACAAAGGTTGAAACAGCATAGCATTAAGAAAGACAAGAAGAAAAAAAAAAGAAAACCATGCAAATGCCCTCTGATCTCAGAATTCTGAATGGGCACTCGTAGTTTTAACAAAGCGATTTCCATAAAGAGCCTTCACCAAATCAGCTTGAGAGAGAGAGAGAGCGATTCTTCATATAAACCAAAAATAAAAAAATACCATCGATGCCATAGATGGTAACAAATGCAGGGAATGACAATCAGAAATAACTGATCCATTTCAATGAGTTTCAAATCATTGGGACAAAAAATAAAGAAAAAGAAAAGGTATGCTGCAAAACGAATTTGCAAAAGAAGAAAGAAATAGTTTCCAAACATGAGAATTAGAAATGTAATACAGGAAAGCAGTAATTTTGAAATAGAACATGCAGAATGTTGAAGATAACAACCAAAATTTTAACCTTGGAATTGGAACAGGCATCCCCTCGTCGGCTTCGTAAACATCAGATGTGACGTATATGTGGAGCAATATATGAAGCGGGCTTCCTATGAGACCTAAATTTAGAAAGCCCGCAGAGGAAGCCTTCAAATGGATGTAAACATATTTCAAATATTTATATGATATCCTCAACTAAATTAAGGAAAGAATATAACTAGTCTAAAGTAAAATTCTATTCAACTCAAAAAAAATTATTTTTTATTTGACTTAATTTGAATTAACTTGACTCATAATTTTATAAATTCGATTCAACTAAAAAAAACAAATTCAAGTCGAGTTATAAAATATAACTTGAATAATAGCTCCGACATTTTTAATAATTAGTAGATTGACTTTCAAGTTTGAGTTGAGCCCCTCAACTTTATATAACATATGTATATCACATATGAAAAATATGAAGAAATATATATATATGGTTATAGAAAACCGTTTAAATTCGGATTAAATAGTACCATAATATTATAAATATTTACATTTAAATTTAGGCTTAATATAAAAATAAGTGTTCAAATTATACCCTTTTTTCTTATTTACAGGCCTAAACTATTTTACGATTAATCCAGGTGTCTAATGTTTCTAATGTTATATTTTTAGGTGCCTGAATCATCACTTTCGGTAAATTTCATCGTTAAATGACACATGTCGTCTTTAAAAAAATATATTTAAAAACCAATTAAAATATTATTTTAAAAAATCTCATTTTAATTAAATTGCAAAAAAAAAAGGCAAAAACTTTTAAAACCTTATTTTCAATCATCTTGCCACTACCGGCCATCACTAGCATTGTCAATCGGCCAAAATTCTAATGGAATATTACCGGACGAACACCCAACGACCGAAACCCCTACTCAAACCTCTAATTGAAGAGAAATCGACTATAGATGTGAAAATCATTGATAGCGAAATGTAGCATTTACAACGTAGTTTGGGTGCTAGGTCGATTGTAAAAATAAGGGGTTCTGATAATGGTGGTTGGCTAGTCACATATCGTTGGATGGTCGACTGATTGACAGTGGTGGGGAAGAGATTGAAATTAGGGTTTTAAAACTTTTTAGAATTTTTGTAGTTTTATAAAATTATGGTTTTTTCTTTAAAAAAAATTAATTTTAATTTTTTTTAATTTAAATAAAGTTTTAAAAATTTTATAAAGGTGACATGTGTCTTTTAAGACATAATTTAACGATCGCGGTGGTCCAGACACCTAAAGTGTAACGTTAAAAACGTTAGACATTGTATTGAATGAAAAATAGTTTACGCACCTAAATAGAAAAGGGTATAGATTGGACATTTATTTTTATATTAAGGCTTACATTTAAAAAGAAACTCAGAAAAATTACTTGACTCAAAAAATTTCAAATAAAATTATAGTTGTAAAATAGAGCTTACGAAGTCGAATAACTCAAAATATTTTAAATTTGATTCGATTCGATCGAACACTTACTCTTAAATATAACATTTGTAATCTATAAGAATACATTTTGCATTGTACAAACTGAAACCTTCAAACCCATGTATTTGCACTCTGTTGTTATCTTTGTACAATGGAGCTTTAAAAAGAGTTAACTTCTTTAAATTCTTATACAATTTTAGTGATTTTTAACTACGAATTAAATGAAAATACATCCAATTTCATTTTTAATATTAAAATAATAAAAATATAATATTAATTTAAATGTCAATGAAGGAATGATAAAAGATTTTTTTTTATAAATTCATGCTTAAATAATTGAGGAAAAATAATAGTCCAAAATTAAAAAAAAAAAATTGGTAGCTTGGGAAAGGATTTAAGTAGGAGAAAATAACCTCAGTGACCAAAAATCCCATATAATATACGATTTTAACCAACTTTTTCTGGATTTGCCAAAATGACCAACAAAATCGCAATGTGATCGCTAATTCGCAACGCGATCTCCATTATCGCAAATCAGTTTCCAGATTCGCAACGCGATTATGACTATCGCAATGCGATTTTCCAATTTTGCATTGCGATTTTCCCAATTCGCAATGCGAATAAGTAAATCGCAATGCGAATTAGGAAAATCGCAATGCGAATACGTAAATCGCAATGCGATTTACATAGCGCCATTCGTATTAACGCGTATTTTTTTTCAAATTCCAAACACGAATTTTTTCTTAATATATCGGAAACTAAACCGTCCACAGTAATCGCAACTCATAACCTAAAACCTAAAATCACAACACTCAGTCTCATCTCCATCTCTCACTCTCTACGGCGAAATCCGTCCCCATCTCGAAGATTTCCGTCCCCATCGCCGGCGAAATCCCTCACAACCATTCACGGTCAGAAATCCCTCACAATCATTCAGAAATGGAAAATCAACCTCCGAGGGTTAGTTTTTTTAATTATTTTTATTTTGAAATTTTTGCATTATTTTAGGTTTTCCATATTGAAATTGATGATAAGTTTACTGGTAATTTCAATAATAGATTAACCATTTCACTTAGATTTCTTATTAAATTCATTCGATTGCTGCCAATACTGCTAAATTGTTTAGCCTGTGAAGTTAGTATTTGTCTTTGTTTTGTCTTTTGGTTGAAGTAATGCAGAAGAAGAATAGTTTCCAGAATGAAAATCGCAACGCGGAAATAACTATCGCAACGAGAGAATCGCAACGCGAAATGAAAATCGCAACGAGATAATCGCAATGCGAAACCAAAATCG